GAAGTCGTACCCGTTGCGAGATATGCGTATATAATATGTTAATTACACGACAATTATTGCTTTGTTCCGTGTATGCGTATGATATTCTCGGGGCAAATAAGCGTTCTATATCGGGCTGTTATCGTAATTATAATATGTAGCTAATAAAGCGTGTCGCGTAATCGTTGCACGGAGTAGCGCGTACATAATATGTTAATGATGGAATAGGACGGATAAAGAGCGCATCACAGGAAGGATTATCTGATAATAGAGGACTGAAAAACTAGGGATTCATGTATATTATATTATTAATACCTTTCGATTAATCGTCGAGCATCTTTAATGCAGTTTTTATTTTTTATGTACGTGTATAATTTTACTTTCGAATTGCCGGATATTCAGCGCAATCAAGTACAATTTTTAACACGACATTATATAATTAAAATCTAAAGTAGGATTTCTTAAAGTCAATTTAAAGTTGGAATTGTGTAGAATGTAGTTTAATATAATTTTTAAAATATATAATTCACGAAAAGTTTGTCATTTTATTCAAATTATTATAATATTTTGATAATTTAGAATTTTTTGCATCAATTATTATATTTATAGATTAAAGGGATATAGAAGCAGATACATGCAAAATCTTATGCAAACTGAGTTCTTCATATTTTTCCGACGGCATCGGTCGAGCTCTCTTCTTATTGTTATTTACAGATTTTAGCCGGTTGACTTGCTGCTCCATTGATCTACGTTCCATCGGCTCGAAAACTGGTCTTATTTGGGTTTCCTTGCTGGTTCTTTACTTTGTCGGGGCAATAAGGTTAGGCAGGACGGGAGGCATCGAGAGAGATATTAGATAGACGACGGTTCGCCCGAAATCAAGGCGCCCGTTCACCATCCCCACCCCTCCCCCACCCGTTCCTAAACAAATTTAATAAAGCCACGATTTCCGTGCCAATTTCGAACTCGGCAAGAGATTGCCCGCCGTCTTCGAAAGGCAAGCGCCGCGCGCCTTAGCTTCTAATCTGATATACACGAGACTAACGATTGGCCAGTTTGATCAAGTACCATCAAGCATAGACTATTTTTTATAAATTAATTACTGATTAAACGATTAAAGAAATTCTAAATTACAGATTTAAGAAAAATATACATTCAGATATACATTAGAAAAATATCTCGAAGAGGAACGCACGCAGATTCTTTAATTGATGCATAAATTCGGCTTTTAGGAAAATTTTTTCAGATATTAAACTTTAATAACGTAAACAAATTGTTTGTAATTATTATTGTTCGATTTCATTTTAAAATAAATATAAATTAATGATAAAATTTATTTATTTTTGAAAGTAATAATATACATAATATATTAAAATTGTAAAAGTCGCGACGAATGGAAATTTTTCTTGATATTATGCATCATATTAATTTTACACATTATACAAATTTTTATTCGCGGACGTTTAGTTTTATCGGTTGTCAGTATTTCGAGACTTGTCAAAGCTCATAAAGGATACTTTTCGTACCTCTACTTTTTAATTCGAGAGGATGAATTCTCGAACTGTATTTCTATTTTCCGAGTTTCTCCGACTTTTCCACTCACGTCCTGTAACTCTCGCGCACTCTGCAAATTCCCTCGCCCTCGCGCGAGAGAACTCGTCTCTCGTTCTCCCTCTCTCTGTCTTGCTCAAGCACGATTTTACCCGCGCCTTCTTCCAACTGTACAACTATATCACTGTCGGTAGCGTTCTGCCTCGAGTATTATTAGTCTTTGGAGTTAGGGAGTACGCATGGACTCGAATCTCCAGGTTCGCTCGCATGGTTAACTTCCGCAAACAGAAATTACCATTTTATTGGGTGAGTTCTAGCGTCCCCTTACCGCGTCGTCCCCTCGGCTGCCCCCTTCCCTCAACATCCCCCTTCCCCCCGCCGAACCCGCCTTTTCTCTCCTTCTACCCCCGCACTTCACGGCGGCCCCTAACGTAACGATTGGAATACCTAATCGTCCGGGGACCATTCAGCACCATTGTTCCATCGACTTGCCGTTGTTGGTGCCTGTTAACGCCGAATCCTTTCACACCCCCGCCGCTACCCCAGCCGCTGCTTTTTTGCCACCCTTGAAAAAGATGATCGGCTTGCACACGTTCGCTGTCACGTTGCTCGCGCAAACGGAATTTCCGAGTGGCATTTGCATCGAATCGTCGACCGCCGCGTTAAATTCCCAGGCAGGGAGTGTATGGACAGACCAAAGTATAAAGGGCCCGTCTGATTGGTCGCGCTTGTACAATGGGCCTGATCGATAAGTGGAAAAATACATGAGATAGAGATTTAAAATACCGGAAAGTAATTTTCCACTTTTTAATGTAATCCTTGACTTTTTTTTCAAAGTATTTTGTAAAAATTTTGAAAATGTATTTGATGCATTGTTCACGGAAATCCTTTATCCGTAAATGCTTAATTTTAACATCAAAGACATGTGAGAATTATTTTGTTTGACTTTTTCAACAACAAATAAAAATTGTTTTATATAAATAAAAAGTCGCAAATTTTTATTTTTCTCCTAAATAACAAATTATTCTTCTAAACAATCATCGTTCTTGATCACTCGACCATTTTTCGCGTTCTGACAAATCTTCGGTTTTTAATCAAACCCGAGAAAGATGAGAAGTGGCTTTCTCCCAGTTGCAACTCTCTTCCACTTCTTCTCTCCTCGCGGAAATGGATTAAGACTTAATTAAAGTCGTTCTTTGATATGTTAATTCCTTCGTAAATATGTGTTACTTTCTCCGTAAGAATTAAAATTTTCTCGGTATACATCTCACCCCCATTAAACACCGATTGCTACTAGCAAGCAAAAAATATAATCTAGCTAACAGAAATTAGTTGCAAAATGTCAAAGTAAAAATTATGCGACTGATAAAAAGTATAATAATAAATTAAATAAAAGCAGAATAGAATGATGACTTTTAAATCCGAAATTAATAATTTTTAAAAGTTGCCAACATAATAATAATCAAATTAAAATGTATAAAAACATGTTTTTATTCTTTTAATTCTATATAGAATAATTTAGAAATTTATAAATATTGTTGAAGAAATTATTAAAGTTATAATATACCAAACTATTTTCTTTGGTATATTAAATTTTATTATTTTTTATATCCATTCTGCTTTGAATAAAGGAACATTTCGGATTTAAGGAGAGGAAAATATTAACGATAAGAAGAGAAGGTAATAAAAAAACTTACCCTTCCATTTTAATATTTTATCATCGTTTGTATTTTTATTTCAATAAAGGAGGCCCTGTTTTCAAACGATATGATTACGATTAAATATGTACATCGATTTTTTTTTATTCTGTCACGCGAGCAGGTATATATACAAATAGACGTTCGGGAAATGACTAACTACGTTTCTTCATTCTCTACGAATTCTCCTTTACAGACCGCGGAGGCAGACCGATGTTGACTTGCGACTGATCAGAGTGCAAACATTTATGAAATATGATCTGTAAAATCGTAAGTCAATGTGTCAAAATTGTAAATGATACTTGGACGACAAAATTAATATATCGAGTTTTAATTATATTTTGATAAAAATTAAGAATATTCATAGAACGCGTTATAGTTATCCGAAACGACTAGCAAACAGTTAAGGAGATTTTGTAACTTTCATATTTGAAAAATGATCTTGTAGCTTACGATTTTACACACCGAGATTGAATCGTACTTTTCATTAATTATTAAACCTGATCCTCCTCCGCGATCTCTGGAATTTACATACCGTGACGGTCTAAATAATATGCACAATTCTTTGTCTTAACGTATTAATACTGTAGAATATTGTTTATGTCAAAATGTCACTTTTTTTCTCTCGCCTCCGTTTGCCTCTTTACTCTATATTCTACAAGAGATATTTCGCTAGCTCACCGATCGACGATCGTACATTGATTTCGTGAACGTCGCCGATCTGAGAGGTTCTCAAAAGACTGACCGATTGACTTTCGGCTTGCGTTTAATAAACGTTTAATAAACAAACGTTTTGATTGCGCGCGTTACGCTATGAAGATTGAATGCACGTGTCTTATATTTCGAGAAAATATTCGGCCGACGAGTGCGAATTTCGTTAACCTTGCATTCAGCGTTTCTCGATTTAATCGGCGCTATCGAGTTTATTGATTCTTCAAAATATTTGTCATCAAACGATGTCCTTTTATTGTTTCGCATGGATGATACTAGTGCTCTGTAGAGTATTCCGTAATAGATATTTATCAAACAAATCGATATTCCTTGCTAAAAATTGAAACGATTTTTTTTCCATTCTTCTTTTCTTTCATTATTTTTTATTTGTTCAAAGAGGATTGAGATTTCTTTTACGCCCAATGCAATATTAAATATATTTTTATGTGAAATATTTAAATTATCACTTTACACATGCGTTCTTTAAATGGATAATTGATATATAGCGATAAAACTGTGCTATTTGTTAGGTTTTTAAATAGCTTACGTATTTGGTGATAATTCAAACATCTCACGTAAATTACGATATTAGTTTATTGACATTTCTTTACATTTGATGAAAACTGAAATAATAATAAATTGTGGAATTATTTTTATAAAATGTTGCAAAGTTATCTGTCATTCAGTATCTGTCATTCAATTATTGCGTAATATTGAATGACAAAACATGTATACCGAGTATCATTTTCTCTCTATGTTTTAGTCGTTTATAATATTATAAATTCAATTACATATATAATGAATTAGTTGACAACCTATTTAGAAATAAACTTGAAATTGTATATTATTATCTTCCTATGACAATTAGTATATTTATCTACATTATATTTTATAAAAGTAGATAATGTATTATAACGATCTTTTTTAATAAATGTATAAATAATTATCAATTCCTTTCTTTCTCGAGCCAAATATTTACAGTCTTTGAAAAATTTTTATATATTATATATAATAATTAATTTATTATTTTGTATTTATTTTAGTTTTAATCTTCACAAATTTTCATGTTTCTCTGAAAATATTTTCTCCCCAGGCGCTTTGAAAGCAAATTTAGAATGAAACTCGGCATACAAGATTTTGCAACAAATACATTGAAAACGATAATGACAAGATAATAAACATTGATCTTTTTTTATCTTTATTTCAGTTACATACATGTCAAGCTTGCGCAACATAATTTGATTTGCATATTGCACAATGCCGACTTAGAGCGAGTCCTGAGTAAATTTTCCACATAATCCGCGCGAAAATCATTTTGTCATGTTAATCACGCGAATTTTCTCCCATTGGTCGGCTATTTTTAGCATCTCTATTTCGTTCAAGTTATCAAAAACATCACAAATAATTTTAAAAAACAGCTTGATCTTGCAGATGTATTTGCTCACGCATTTCTTTTTTTATTTGCTTCCTTTACATTTCAGATAAAATCTTGATTTCTCCTGTTAAAGTCATTTCACGAAGGATTTGATGATCGGCCCATTTTCAATCATGAACACGTGCTCATTTCATGATAGATGTCTGTCAATCTTATAACACTGATAGTCTCTATAATTATCAAAGATAGCTATAAACGCCGATCATCGATTATTGCAAGATTTGTCTCTTTGATGATCTAAAATGCTCACCAGAATGAATGTCAGATTTTTCCTTCGGTAACTATCGATACCGGGAACAAAATCTTTTTCAATAGAACGATAGGTTTTCTCTCGCGAGATCTCTTGTACTTTCACGTCACGTCCAGCTCCATTTCGTCGGTGATCTTTCCCTATGACGGAACGAGCTCTCTCGCTCTCGTCGGTCGACATACCGCTCAGGCGATTCTTCTCGGGGTCTGGAATGTCTGGGCTGGAAGGGTTGTTGCTCGCTTGCTCGTCACGCGATCACGAGGCCGGCAGCGATGCGCGCCCCTGGCAAATCTTCGGTTAACCTTCAAACCATCTGCAGGCCTTTGGTGATGCTCTCGACGTGCTCCTTGGCTCGCATCCTGAGCGCCTGGATGCTCGATGTGCGAGGATCGTGTCCTGGCGGACTCGGCGGTGGTGGTTGAACGTGGCCGCCGGCGCTTATGCTCGCCATGCTGCCGGCCAGCGATCCTGCAAACAGTGCAATTCCTACGTCTCGTTGGGTATGCACAATGACAATCATTGATGACGAATTCAATAATGTTGATTATTCTGTCGAGCTTATTTTATCCCGCGTAAAATAACTTCGAGACACGCTAACTTAAAAATAGCAATTCTAACAAAGTCTAATTATTATAGTGATAGAGTATTGTGATTATGTATTTAATCTTTTTAATCTTTGTTTTATACAAGAGAAGAAGAATGGAAATCGCGAAAAGCATAGATATTTAAAAATTCTGTTCTCTTTTCATTGCAAGGGATATCCGATTATTTTATTTTCATATTTCATTAGGTTTTCATTTTATTCTCATGATTTCTTTATTTTATTTTATCCCATATATTTTTGAACGTGTTATTTTTTTTGAATTGTCAAATCAAATCAAATGCTTGTTGCGAAAAATGTGGGGAAAAATAAACAAAATACTAGAGATAATTGTTACCTGGAACGGGATTGGTCACGGCACCTACATTTGGCGGTGACGGCAATCGCCTGGGTGACGTTAGATAACTGGGATATCCTGTGTGAGGCGCAGCGAGGAAACCGGGAAGCGCGCTGAGCAATCCTGGCGGCGCGAGCCAAGGATCTCCTGGCAGACCTAAAGCCGGACCGGCGACATTCCTGAAACAAAACATTTTCGTACACGCAATGTAGCTATATTTCTTGCAAAAATTTAACGCGACATCCAGATTCCATTAACAAAAGTATTCAGAAAGCATTTCGGACAAACCTCATATTAGCAGCATGATGATACTCGCTCAAACCCAGTCTCGCAGCTTCCATTTTTTCCTGTCTGCGCCACTTGGCTCGTCTATTCTGAAACCAGACCTGAAACATAGCAATGTAACAATTTCTCATTATTCGATCGAAATCAGATATAAATAAACGAAAGAAATAAATATATATAAATTTCACTCGAATACAAATTTACGAGATATTTGCAAGTGTAAAATAAGTAATTTGTAAATTATAATTCTGGCTAGTTTGGTCGACTACACAATCTCATTTAACCTTTTGTAAAATAAGTCTTATTGCTCTTCTGGCTATTAATCGATAAGTAATAATGTTAGCTGTATTTAACATTTTATGAACTTAATTTTACAAATTTATCAAGTCCGCGTTTGATTCGACGTAAGACGGGGGAACAACGTCACAACGACACGACACAAACTCTCATTAGCTGCAGAGACGCGATAATGATAACGTGTCACTACCGTATACTTGAGGAAAAGGGCGCTCTCCTTTCTTCCCTCAATCTAACAGACTAGCGAGATATCACTTTTGACTTTGACAAAATGTTCGATATTACTCTATTTCGCATCAACACAAGACATATCAATACAAGATTTTTTTATGTTATTATGATTAAGATTCTCTTTTAAAATCAAATAATATTTAATAAATTGTAGAAATAATATTCAATATTATAAACAATCTATTATAAAAATTTATATTTTTTGATATGTATAGTAGATTTTTGTAAAATCAGCCTCTTTTTAAAACAATCAAATTTAAAGATGACGTTTCATAAAAAGTCTAGACTTTTTGGAAAATAATTGAATTCATAATCGCAATATATATCTTATGCAACTATTATTAATTATTATTAATTCTATTATTTTTCTATATTACAATAGCTCAAAATTTAGAAAAATGAAAAAAAAATTATTCAATTGTAAAATTAAAATTAAAATTTATTAATAAAGTCTTATTATTTTCTTTTTATTATTAAATATAATTAAATATAAATGAAAGAGAAGAAAGAGAGAAGACTCGAAAAAAACTATAAATATTAGCATATATAATACATTTATAAAATAATTTATTGTGTGTGCAGAATATAATTTAAATAACGGAACAAAGTTTTTATAAAAGTGATTTAAAATCTCAAAGTCGCATTCCCCCAAAGTTGACATTGGCATCTTCAGTCAAATTAGACGAGTCTCGCCCTCTGAGAAGGGCCGCGCGACTCTTTCCCTATAAACCGGTCAACTGCAAAAGGATCTAACCGCGAGAAAGCAAGCCAGAAGTGCGCAAAACGTTAAGTCATAGTAAAAGAATAAGCAAGAAAAGAGAGAGATTCAGAGGGTTTGATAGAAAATGGAGTTCCTTTGGCGGGGAGCAATCGTGCGGAGGGCGAGAAAAGTGGCTGCCAAGACTTTTTCTCTCTTCTGCATTCTTTCTCATCTATTCTTTTCTCTCTCTCTCTCTCTCTCTCTCTCTCTCTCTCTCTCTCTCTCTCTCTCTCTCTCTCTTTCTCGATCTCTGCTCCAAAAGGAGGGTTGCAGAAATGTCTCTTTGGGCGGGTCTCCCAAGTCCACCCCTGAAAGCGGCGTTGGCTAAGAAAAGGGGGGCAAGAAGGAGGAAAGATCGAAGGGTGAGACGAGGCCCACCCTTCCATCGGCATTAAGAGGGTAACGAGTCCTGGGGCGAAATCGAAAGTGAGCGAGCGACGCGCGGTGCGCCTCCGAAGGAGTGGACCCAAGAATGGAAGTGAAACGTAGGAGGGATGGAGAGGGAAGGGAAAGGTACCCCGGCTTGTCGGGACGGTTCGGCCATGTTGATTTCTTTATTGTAACATGGCTGCTGTTGGCAGCTCGCTTAAGTCTATTGCGTTAAGAGCCGATGCTATCGGTCTCGGCTTATGAATTATTCAGTTCCCGTCGCGAGACGCGCCGGGTTATAAGGCCCACCGGGTGCCGTCCGTGACGAATTTACACGCGGCAGCGAGGTGAGCGAGACCTCGAGATCCATCGGCGATCGATGAATCTCGCTTTTCGCTCTCCCACAGTCGTCTTCGACGCTCACTTGGGATAAATAATGCTGAGCAATCGATTCCAACTCTTCTCCGGTAGCTGACAACGAATGACTACAAGATAATTCCTCCTTGACGTATTAATGCACATGATCATTAAATACAACTAGGGAGAAATCAATAAATTCAGAAATATAACACATTGTAGTTGTCAAGATCTAAAGAGAAATATTTAATCATTATGAGGATTGTCGTGGAAAAATGTGTATATATTATGCAATATCCTTCCGCAACATGACGCTAACAGAGTCATATTCCAAATTACTGCAATTTTCTTCAAACACTTGTACCTCGTAAACTTGTTTCCTAATGGATAGAGCAAAAATTTCCTTGCGCCTTGCGGAAATAATCGGTGACAAGTATCGCATTCGGATAACAAGTGACTAGCAAATTGAATGTTACCGTTGGGAATGAACGGCGATGAATCGTCGAAAGGAAAGAAAGAGAGAGCGTGGCAGACAGAGGAAAGCGCGGAAACGAAGTGAAACGAAGACGGGGTTAAACGTCAGAGGCATCGCCGAGGTTTGGGCGTAGGTTTGGGGGTGGGTGGGATGGGAAAGGGGGTACCATTGGGGACGCGGGGGAATGGATATCGGAGCATTCTCGGGCTCATCAGGACGATATTCCGCTCTCGAGAACGAGAAGCAATTTTCTTTCCCGGCTCCGTGGATGAGAAAAGGCTATACGGACAAGATGCCACGCCGAAATGATGGGAAAATAAGCGAATTTCCCTTCGTATCTCTCTTATATATCCTTTTCCATCTCGTTCCGTCTCTCGCCTCCCTTTTCCCATCGCTCCTTTTTCCTACTCCCTCTCTCTCTCCTTCCTTGGAGTTTCGCGTCTTACCATAACGCTCCGTCTCTGTTTACCTGAGGACTGAACTCGCGCGCTCCTTCTCGCTTTTCTCGCGGAAATATAAAGAACAGGGCTAACGCGGCTTAATCTTTTTAGGTCGTAAATTTATTAGAGCAGGTACTTCCACCTTTTCCGCCCTCCTCCGTCTTATTCTCTCTCTCTCTTTCTCTTTCTCTCTTCTCCTCCTCTGACCCGACCAGCCAGCGACTCGCGACGATCCTCGGCAATGATATTGCGAAGGTAAACTCGCTTAGACGGTTTAAATGCAAGAAAATTGAAATAAAATGGAAGTAATTCCGAGATTAAAATTGGACGTCGTTCCGTTGTCGCTGAGAAGCGGCGACGACACTTTTTCGAGCTCTCTCCCTCGCCCCCTTGCCATTCCTTAATGCCATCCCGTTCCCGCTTTAACGTGTTAGTCTTTGTGAGATTTTACGTAGCTCTCGTTGGAGAAACTTCGTCATGTCGGAGTTGCATAATTCGCAAGATTTCGCTGAAAGGTTGACACGCGGATGAGAGGGCTAATTATCATTATCGCGTTAATGCGCAAGTAACATAAGGGAATAACAGTCCCGACTCTTTTGCGAATAGAATCGTTATGTCCGACGTAATCGGTAAAGAATGTGGCTGGCAAATACGCATCGTGCAATTGATATAAAAGGACATTATATATAAATATTATGTATTTCCTAAAATGTCGTAATATATATCGCATAAAAATCTTATAAACTAAAATGAAAAGCAACGTTATTTGGATGTACCTTGTTTCAAAACAAATTTCCATTTAATAAACTATCTTGCAATTCTTTTACGTTGGCTTCTACTTGTGTGCCATTTTCGTTTACTACCACGTTGTTACTCTACGAGTTACTATATGAGTGATGCACGCTAAATATGACATCTATGCAAAATATATGAATGTATGGATGATGTGTTTCTGATGATTGTGCAGCTTTCGCTCTCTTTGATAACATACGGGTGACGAGCACTCAACGAGAACAAGAAGCGTATCGCGCCGAAAATCACTCCCAAACTCTATCTATCGTACGTATGTTTTTTTTCCTTTTACACGCACGCGCACGCATGCAACCGTCTCTCCATTTTCCTCCTTTTCTCTCCTTCTCCCGTCCTCTCTCGCTCTCGTGGAACACATCGTTCCGGGACGATGGTTGCTTTATACTCGACGGCGGCTCTCGCCGAATTCGGATTAGCGCCGGCAAAAAGGTATTCGAGGTGCTCACGCCACGTCGAGTTCATTGTTGCCGATCGGAGTATTAACAGATTTTGGCCATTGTTCCCCGTGATGGTGGCCTGCGAGGCCTTTAAAAGAGTCGCGCTGAAGGCGCCGCGCGTGATGCATCGTGGCGACGTCAGGGGATTTCCAGCGGCGTGATGGGATTTTTTTTATATTCTTTGATTTCAACATGTTCATGAAGAAATATAACAAGCTATTCTTTTAATTATAACGCTATTTCTAACAAACTAAATAAAATATTCAAGAGAGAAGTAAGAAATTGTTAAATTCGAACAAAAGAACAGAGATCTTAAAAAAAAAATATCTACAGAGCGCGGTCTATTAATAATAGACGAAGAAATCGATAAAAGCATTAATAGAGGAGTAATAACAATATAAATAATAATAAAAATATAGATTTTCTGTTCATATTCAAAAAATGCAAAAGCAATTTTAATTCTTTTTGTCACAGTTGTCTTTCTAAGAAGAGACTATTCTGCATTTCACGCATGTTTTGGTCGCACAAGATCCCGACTCGATGAAAGTCGAAGTCCAGGATGGACCAGTCGTGCGAGATGGATATTAAGGCCTTTGCGATGGAGGAGATTAATGTGTCTTCCTATTAGAGTTGTGCGCAAAATCGAGATGACGTTGACGATATCGACGTCTTTCCTATAGAATGCTGATAGTTCTTGAGCGCGTTTTACAAGTGCAATGTGGAACGATGCCAAACATGTATGAAATATTTACATCAATAACATTAGAGAAGCTCAATTGAATCGATAGTATTTCCATATGATTATCGCGATTTTTCAAGTTATTTCATTTGCTACATCTTGTTGAGAAAATCAAATAACTCCTCAAGTCATAATATGCTCCTCAATTATTAAATATTTAGATGCAAGAGTAAATCTTTTTAGATT